ATTAAAAATTATACTAAGCAAAAATTTACATTTTTAAAATTTAATCAAATTAACACATAATATTTGAAATAATATTTTGAAGATTTAGTTGAACTAAATCACTATCAAAATAAATTTTTAAGTAGGCAAAAATCGCTACTTTTTCAAAATCATCCGTAAAAAAATCTCAAATAAATACTCAAAATGTTAATAATCTCAATCTCTATAATATATAAAAAGTTACATTGTGAAAGTTTTACCAATATAAAATTATTCTCGTTTTTCGGTAACAAAAATATAAATTTGATTGGAAAGATATCAAAAATATAAAATATTTGAAATTAAAAATATGGTAAAAGTTTCTTATAGCGAGATGAGTAAATTTCTTTAAATGGCTTGAATAACGAAAATTCATCTGTGATCTCCAAATATGAGCTTTTTTTCTCTCATTTTTTCTCAAAATGCTCTTTATTGCCAAATGGTTAGGGAAAAGAGATTATTAAATAATGCAGTAACATATTTTAATATAATATATTATAATTATTTAATATAAATATTTAATTTAATAAAATTTTCAATATACACAAATCATCTAAATCATTTTGGGCATTAAAAATTATAAAAAAATATCCATAAAATAAATTATTTTTTAACAAAATATTAACGAAATCAGTTTGCAAAACCTATCAGTTTCAAAATTTCCACTTGTACCTATATTTATCAATTTATTAAAAATTTTCACGAGAACACAAAAATTATGAAAAAAAATCATGTAATTAAGGCACTATAATATAATATTATGACATAGACGATTTATGATTTAGACTTATATCGATTCCAGAAAAAATTTGATAAAATTAATATACAGTTATTATTACACAACTCTCCTTGGCCTATTGGTTGAGAGCTTAGGCTTCCAACTAAGAGGTCCAAGGTTCGAGTCTTTGTGTATGCGTTGTGTGTGTGAGTTTGCCTTAAATGGCCTAAATGTCCCAAAAAAAAAAAAAAAAATACAGTTATTACACCTCAACCATACATGCATTACATCCAATCAGCCAACCTTGCCTCCTCCTATCCATCACCATACCTCACATCTAATCCAAACCCATACACAGCCTCCTATGATCTCACCTCTACCTAACTTCGGGCCAATCGTCTAGAAGCTCTAGTCACCCATCGAAGGCTGCCCCATCCACCTGTTATGCCCGCCATTCCTAGAACTGAGCACGACTTTTGGCTTTCTACTCAATCCCTTGTCTCCAATTGAGCATAATCAATTGGCCCACCTCCACATCACTTGACCAGTCTGCTATACACACACACACACAAAGAAAAAGAAAAGTGATAAAAAAAGGAAGGAAAAAAAGTTTCTGATGCATTTTTGTATATTTTCCTCATTTTTTGTGCCCTCATCACCGGCTTCGTCGTCATCACCACCTCGCAAAGGTATAATATTCTCCATACATAAAAACCCAAAATCCCGCATTCGATGTTCGTGGCACACTGGGGGGGGGGCCTCCCTATACATGCTCTCGTAGCACAGTTGGAGGGAGTCCGGTGCTGCACTTGCGACCAGGTGAGTAGGCCCTGTACATACTCTTCCTAGCGTAGGACGGACAACTTTAAGTACTCGTACGCGGCTCAGTGCCTACAGGGAAAAATTGCGCTTTTCAAATAGGTACCTCAAAGAGCCATACACACTATTCATAGTGCGGTGGGGATTGAAAAATCGAGGCCATGGTGTCGCCCGACATCTATCATACATGCTCTTCGTAGCATGGTGGGAAGGTCCAACTCTTCAAATTTCCCCTAAACAGGGGAGACACAGTGGTGCTGTAAAAATTTTCAATGAATAGAGGACCGACCTTGAATAAAATTGACATGATATTTGAATACAAACAAGACCACAGGAATTAAATTTAAACAACAGGGAACTCGACCATAAGCTAATAAATATGCTACTTAAACTACAAACACTAAGCAATAAATTCAAACTATTTAATTGAATATCAATGAATAGGTATAAGATGAATGGCAAGTGAACTCTTAGTGCATGTCACAAATTATTCGTGAACAATGAAATTAAAAAAAAAAAAAGAAGAATTGTCAGATTCAATCAACCAATTCAAAAGTAATAATCTAGAATCTGTAGTGAGTACGAGCTCATGAGCATATGTAGGAGACTAGTAATGAGCCAAATGATTTGCTTGAAGGTATGTACATGAATTTATGATGCCTATGACAACCTGCTTATGCACATTTAAATGACAGTTGCCTATGCATCTTATTAGTGTCAAATATTTCAAAATGTCCTCAGCAATATATATAAACGCAAATGTAAAAGTACACATGCAAGCGTCTTAGTATATAGACAAAAATGTAAATATACATGCAAGTATGCAAACGTAATATAAGAAAAAAACATATGTTGTTATATACACATATTGGCCTTGGCGAGCATGTTGTATTTACATACATGACAGCTGAGAATGTTGTGCAGGTCAAGAAATGAACTTAAGTTTGAACTCAATCCTTCTATGCTGATAGATAAGAGTTGACACATCTCGGGCTATCAAATAAATATATGATTGTGGTGCCAACCCGGATATTTATTTTATACCTTTATATTACTCCTTAAAGGCCTATTACAAAGTAAATTCATTGATAAAGGCATAAAGCCTACTACGAACTTGATCTTCTATCAACAATTGGAAAAAGCTGATAAGGTTCAATAAATAATTATAAAAATGCCCCCTAAATACTTGCGTGGCCCCAGTGAGTGTGTTGCATTTACATACTTGACATTTAAGGATGTTGCAAGGGTAAAAAATAAACTTAAGTTCGCGCCCGATCCTCTACGCGAGCAAAATAAGAGTCGACACGGCTCAAGTTATAAAATAAATATACTGTCACGGCGTCGCCCAAGACAATTATTTTATAAGTTCATATTAGATCTTCAAGGTCTATAAGAAGACAAAATTCACTAATAAAGGTTTGAAGCCGACAACGAGCCTGGTCCTATGTCGGCAACTAACAGAGTTGACAAGGTTCAACCAAATAAAAGTGCCCATGAATACCCCGATGATGGCCATGTTGAATGTTTAGATCAACAGAAGGAGACTCTACACTTTTAAATACCTCCAAATGCTTATGAAATACAAATTATTCAAAATGACTACAATAACAACCCGATAATGACCATGTTGAATGTTTATTTCAACTAGAGGGGATCACAAACACTTAAAAATGTCACTCAAATGTCCAAAAAATTAAAAATTCAAAATACCAAAAACTATCAAAATTCAAAATTCAACAATTATGACCGCGACGCTCTGACCTAGTGGCTTGGTCGAACGACTCCACTGTATTATTATTACGGTCATAGCACGTATGTTCCCTAATGACATCAAATCATTGAGATATGAATTGATAGGATACAATCAATAGGGTGCAAAGACCTCTATTAGCTAAGGTGGATTCAGATTTGTCTCCTTAGATAAATCTTTATCTTAGATATACAAGGTTCCCTTAGACAAAGCAACCCATGACTACTAACAAGGATCCTCTAACTAATAAACTAGGGATCATGATGGCCAGGGACGATAAAATCAGGAGATCTTGATCGGGCTCATCATCATTCCCCCACCATGTTCTTTAAGTGAAAGGTGATGAATTTTTTATTTTAAATATTAAAATTTCAAAAACTAAACCCATACTAGCTACCACTATAAGCCATATATATATTACGTATTTAATTGATGACTAGCCTTAATCGAAAGTTCTCTCGTTATTGGGAGGGGTAATTAACTATATGGGCTTGCACCTATAGGAAACCAGAACTCATATCTAAAGTCCTCGCAAGATGAGGGAGAAATATCTGGGTAGTGTCTTATTTCAAACTCAATTTGTCTGCTGAAAATTTGTCTCAGAACTTAATTCATTAAAACTCTCATGAAAGCAAGGGAGGTCGGGGCATGAATTTTCGGAGCCCACATTCAAGTATGAGTTTAAAACCCTAGGTTCAAAAATATAAGATGAGAAACTTGGATTCAAAACATAATGCTTGAACTAGATCCAAATTTGACTTAAATTTGGGCTTCATTTGGGACAACTTCTTATGGCTTATTAAAGCAACTTACTCGTATTAATGTTTATACTAAAAAATTTCTTTAATAAACAATAAAAAAGTCGTCCCAAACAAAACCTCAGTTCCAACATAGTTCCTCTTATGAGAATAACTTAATACACCTAGAATGTTGATTGCATGTAGAAAATGATTTAAGAAAATCTTTTGAAAAAGAAAAATATTTCATCCTTGTTAAAATCATTGCTTTGATTAAAATATAATGAGAAGAAAATCATTGAATCTCCTATTGCATATGCAATCCTTCAGATTAAAAGAAAAAAAAAATCTCGCTAAAGAAAAGATTTTCATATATTCAAATAACTAAATATGATTGTACCACAGCTTTCTAATATGGGGCTTATAATTTTAATTTTACCAACTAAATCAAAATGTTTAAGGCTTCAATTGAGTTAGCTTTCTTACTATTTTCTAAAATGACTTTTTAGTATAAAAATTTCTATTTCAAGAAATTTTTATACTAAAAATTTGCTTTAAAAAGCAATAAAAAAAGATATCCCAAACAAAGTCTAAGTTGCTTGCTTGGTTTGAAAGTTATTCAAGTAAATGTTTGACAGAATATTTCACAGATGTCTTTCAATGAGTCATTATATACGATTAGTGCGCCACACTCGATCATTGAAAACTTTTGGTAAGTCCACTATGGGTTGTTGGGACGCGTAAAGACAAGTTTACATATTAGGCTTCGTTTGGAACGGCTTTCTTATTGCTTCTTAAAACAGCTTTCTAGCATAAAAAATTATTTTTTATACTACAAAGCTGTTTTAAAAAACAGTAAAGAAGCCGTCCCAAACGAAGCCTTCGCATCATAATATTGACAATAACATTGATGCTGAAAGGCCCCTTTCAAAAGGCATTGCATCCAAAGCCTAAAATAGAAAGCATAAAACCAAGAATTATTATTTTTAGCACAAAAGCACCAATCTGCAGAACACTTTCAGATAAATATTCATAAAAATGCTATATATACACATTTTACCAAATTAATACAATTATGAAGTGCTAATCTGAGCAACTATCCATATGGGGTTAACAAAAATAATGTTCAGGAACCATACTTGTCGAGGTCATAGAATTCGATGTTCTTATATTTCTGTGATATGATTTCTGCTTGAACTTTCCTTGCTGTATCAGTTGCACAGCCAACAAGGATAAGCACAGATGTTCCAGCAAATCCACGAAAAGCAGTCAGGTGAGTAATTTGTTCAACTGCAGCAGGACCGGAAGCAAGGATGGCAAGGAATGCAGAACCCAATATGGATATACGACTTAGAACCTGCAAAAAGAGCAATTCATGGAAGATAAGCTTTGGAATAGGAGGTTATGGGATAACTGAGTACACCTGAAAGCCAACACAAAGAAACGAGTCCACCGAAGCATTCTATTTGCAGAAGCAGAAAAAAATTGGGAGAGGATAAACTTATCAAAATTTTATGTCATGATGGATTTTAACATCTTTGAATTTTCTATAAGATGAATAAAATATAAGAGTCGATTGATTATTCATATATTGTGTTCATCTCAATGTAAATATTAGAGTTATAAAATGATCAAATTTTGATCATAACATCATGATGCAGTTTTTCTATTCTCCAAAATGCAACTTGTTTGTGACTTTTGACAAATTGGGAACATATGTAAATTTTATTTTATTTTTAACTTTCTAAACTAAGCAGATGGCTGAAAATGATCCGAAGCAGCTAAAAATCATCTTCTTCCTCCACAAAATTTTCTTCTTGTGGTTTTTTCCAATTGGGTCAGAACAGGTCAATCCAGATGCTGGACCTGGATATATCACAGATGGTGGGTGGTTGGCCAGCCTAGTGTGGCTTAAAGGGGAGATCGGTTGGGAGTAGTTGAGTTGACAATTTTGGGAGCAGGGGTTAGAGGGGACGGCTATGATGGCGGGGAAGCTAGGAAAGAGAGAGGACCTTGGTAAACTTGTGCGTGATGAGGTGAGGTGTGGCCCAATACATTCAATAATTATCTCTTTCCTAGGATTTTCTATCCAAAAATATTTTGGGAAGACAATTTCAAATTTTAAATGGGATGTGAGAGAGAGAGAGAGCTTATCTTTATAATATTATATAATAAATATTATAAATAAAAATGTTAACAATTAATTATTTAAAAATTAAATTATATGATATATAAAGAATAATCCACTCAAACTCTCGACAATCCAATAGTGATTGCAAAGATGGTTTTGCGAAACTTTCCAATGAAAAAAATTCTCCAGGTGAAAATCTCATGCAAATGAGACTTTCGTGCATAGAACTACGTGAAAAACTCGTCAAATCATTGTTGCGTTTGTCACATGTATCCCGACAGACACGATGCAAGTCATGAAATTTAATTCCAACATGACAGAATTGGGGCGACCAGAGTGATGCAAACTATCATCACTCACAGTCGCGAGGGAAAAAAAAAGGGCAAATTGAACTCTTTCAATGCTCTCGAGGCAACTAATGGTCACGATCGATAAAGGACTATCCTACATAGCATAGGGATAATTCTAAGGAGGATGTGTGAAAAAATTAGGTTAACAATCACCATGGGAGATAGTCGATTATCAAAATACATAGAGAACTATTAATGTAGATAGCACTCTTAATCACACTTTTTTTTTTAATTCTACTTTTAATGAAAAGAAGTGTATTGATTCCTATTTTTAAGAATAAAGATGATGCACAAGAGTATGCGAATTATAAAGGCAAGGTTTAAAATTGCGTAAATAAGCCTCGAGGCGTTTTTCGTCCGTGAGGCGAGGCGTAAGCCTCGAGGCGGTGTGAGGCGTAAGCCTCACCGACGAAGAATTGCGTAAATGAGAATTTAAGGGTTTTAACAAGTAAAAAATAGAAAGATTCTATCATACAATAAAAACATCTAAATGACAATTAAAATTAGGGGAAAGTAAGAAAATAAATGCAATAAAATCATATCCCATAACCGATAAACCCAAATACCTATAATAAAGAGTAATCTAGTGGCTTTCAAAACTTAAAAAATTGCATTCAAATAAGAATCATAAGATGAATATTGCATATCATTTGATCTATCATATTTTGACATAGTTGCGTTTTTTCCCCTTTTAACTTCCTTTCTAGTTTGGGGCTTTTCATTATGATAATTAGTAGCAAGTAGAAAAATGAATATTTCTGGTTATGAGTGCTATCAGCTTAACATCTATGGAATGTGGCATTATTTCTAAAAACTTTAATAAGAATCCCGCCTACTAAAGTATCAAATACAAAAGAAGGATAAGGGCAAGAATCAAGTCAAACATTTGGAAATATAAATTAGGAGATATAAGGATTATTAGTATATAATACTATTTAACATAAATTTACTTAACAATTAATAAAAGAATTAGAATCTGGATTCTTTATGAATGAAGATCATTCTATTAACTTAAGTGCTAGAGTTAAAAAATATTCTAAAAGAGTGGAAAAGGAATCGCAACACAATGGTAACGAATTACAATGATAACAATGAAAGAAAAGCTAGTTTTGTATGAGTTAAAATCTTGTGAAAAAAATGGATATCCCAAATATTTCATACTCAAAAAGGTGCCTCTCATGTTTGCTTTGAGCTTTACATGATAAAGTTAATATTCACAAAATCATGAAGACTAACTTTCAAGAAATGAGAAGGAATGTGTTTGGACGGCTAAAAGCATTCCACTCCATTATGAAGAAAGTATGAATGAAAGTACTCACAGTTTTAAGGAATGCAGCCGTGCTTTTTCCTGGTCGAACAAGCGGGATTGAAGCACCTTGCCGTTTTAACTGTTCACTCACATCGTCGGGATCTAGTTGTAGAAAGGTATAATAATAGTTGAAGAAAGCTATCAACAATATATTTGTTGGAAGATATAAAGCCCCTGTAAAAAGCAAAAAAGTAAGGATCAAAATTCATCTGATAATTATTTTCCTTGAAAGTGTCATTAAAATCTAAATTGGCATGGCAAAAGTATTCTGAATTGCCCTAAGAAGAATTTTGACAAAAGAAAACATGATCTTAGCATGCATTTTCCAACAACCAGTGAATGTCTAAAATTTAATATAGCATTCATAAATGTTGAGAACGCCATCAGGAGGAAGTGTGAAAAGAAAACAAAAGAGAACTATAACTAATTAGTTCATGCCAGTGACAAACAAAGTGAATAAAAGTCTTTGATTATGCGATTTCCAGCTAATTCTACGCCTTACCTCCAGGATTTAGTGCAAGTGCAGCCTTTTTAAGAGCATCTAAACCAGTGAAGCGTGCCAGAGTAGCAGGCAATGCTAATGAAGATGTGGAAAATATGATAGGCATCACACCAGAACTATTCACCTGCAAGAAAATTGAAAAACTATGAGAATGGTAATTATACTTCTCGAGATGCAGAGGACAACATAGAGATAAATTCAAAAGAACAGAAAATATATTAAAAATTCGATACAAGGAGCAAATTGAAATTCAGTCTCTAAATGAAGTATAATAGACTCTGTCAACAGATAGTCCGCATTCTAATCATTTTTATTAGATAAAAAGTTATCTTTGTTGTCACACAAGTGGTAGAGATGCACTTATAAGTAAATACTATATAACATACTGGAGATGCTAGACAATTAACATGATAAATAATTAAGTAGCTGTAATACTATTGATTACTAAAGGAAAATAAGATTGTCTAAAAAGAAAAATTAAAATATAACTTGTAATTAACCTTTATCTCTGATTTGGCATGTCTTGCAACATAAGAGTCCACATGAACAGTGGCTAAGTATTTCATTTAAGTAGCCAATTTTGCTTAACATAGTCACTGTAATTACTATTCTTAAAGCCTTTACACGTTCTTTGAAAATTAAGATGTAAGAACTTCTGCGTCATCAAATATCAATGGATTTTGGAGCTTCAGCCAATATGAACCACAAGTATCCGCAGATGTAAAGTGGACCAGCATGGCTGTCAAATCGGATTCTTTAACAACTTACCCAAAATCAAATGTTCATGTAATAATGATAAAGCATATAAAACTTAAATAGCCCAAAGGCTTATTGAGATAATAACGGAGAAAAAGGATTCATGCAGCTGGCTCTACATAGTGGGATCAAGGTTTGTTGTTATAATAATTGTTATTGTAGTAGTGTTCAATAATCTGGCTTGTGATTTCATACTGAGAGGTATCAATAAATAGAATCAAATAAATTTTCTAATGAAATACAATCAGTGTCTTGCCTGAGGGATGATCCTCGTAAGCAATGAGAATATGATCATGTCCTAGTAAAATTGTCATTATTCGAAAGAACACTACAACTCTTTATCGACTTTTGTGTTATCATTAATACCTACTAATTCATCACTAACTCTACTTGAATCATCCGGTATGTATGAAGCACCACTTCGATAGCAAAGTAATACTAACTCACATGGCATATGTCTTCTCCTTCAAAGTGGTGATAAGGGTGCAAGTTTATTTAAAAAGCAGAACATTAGTTTCCAATAACACAGAGCTGATTGAAGCATGGAATTCCTCAAAAGACTCGGTAAATGCCCTGCCAACCCACAAAATCTCACACACGGACCTCCACTTTCTTTTCCACATCCAGGAGCCTCTTTCTCATCCTGCAATTAAATTATGAAACTACGAGATGCTGTATTGGGTGGAATTGGAAGCATTGCATATATTTGAAGGGTGATCATTCAATAAATGGAACTTTATGTACAGATTAAGCATATAACATTTCCATTTGGTATGTTGCAAAATGTTTCTATTCAAACCAAAGATCATTTCACATGAAAACTAGTGAAATGATAGAAACATACAGAACAATAAGAGGAGATTAAAGGCGGTCATTTCATTAAATTTTGTATGACAAGAAAAATCAAAATAATGCATTAAATTTGAAGAACTAGATCATCAATGTAGAATAGTTGCAAAAGTTTTTATCTAAATCGCAAATAATTAGCTAAATGAGAAATGAGTGATGACGTGAATAACCAAAACAAAGACAAAAATATTTATGTAAACCTTAAAAGGTAGGTATGCAGCTTTTTGAAGGCCCCCACTCCGGCTGCTGTATCTTGAAGCATAATTAAGCGGTATTTTTCTCTCCGCTTCCTGAAGTCCAGTGTTAGATACTTTAGAAGAAGAAAATAGAAAAGAAATAATAATAATAATAATAATAATAATACCTGCACATACACAATACCAAGAACTAATATGAGGAATGAGATGACAATGGTAGTCAATCCAATGTAATTTCCATCTTGAAATGCCTGGGAGACCGTTCTTCCAAATGATGCAGGCAAGTACGATATAATGCTTGTAAATATCAAAAGTGATGTTCCATTTCCAAGTTTTAGGTCTGATATCTTTTCTCCAATATATGTAGTCAAGACTGATCCAAGTGTCAGCAAGGTTACTGACGATAACACCCACTCTGTGCTGAAATCGTTGACATAGGAACGTAGGTAAAGGACTTGACCAATAGCCTTGCAACCAAACGAACATGATATCAACAGACTGGAAGGTGACAATTAGTAACAAATTTATCCTAAAAGTTGTAAGTACTAATGAAATTTTTTTTTTTTTTAAGTTAAGAAGGCTGGTCAAAGAACACTGACAATAGTAGGCTCTGAAGCTGTAATTTAGGATACTAACAGCAACTTCATAATTATCATAACAGATTCTAGAATCATATTTGCAAAGTACTAATAAACATGAAAGAAAACTTTCATCCGATAATAAATCAGTAACATGCAAAATTTATCATCCAAAATATTTCCTTATTTTTCTCCAAATTCTGAATGTTCAATTTATCTTCTACAAAAATTCATTGAATAAAGTAATTGGTACCACGATCTAGAAGGCCCAAGAATCCTAAAAAATGTAACTGAAATTTTGATGGCATAGAAGACAACCAAAGCATCCAGACAAAGTTTAGGCTTAAATGTGAAGCCAAATGATTTCATGATGGATTGATTTAGGATAAGTTCATTATCAAGCCATGTACACTGATAAATGTTTGGAGCATCTTTTTATTAAATTTGGTATTATGAGATAGAGGAACCCCTCAATTTATCATTAAAAAATCATAACAAAAGTGAGTTAAAACATTTGTTGGCCAAGAAGTTAGTTTCTACCATAATGGGTACAGATTTTATTACACCAGAAATACCTCCAATATTTCCCCATCTTTTAGAGGATTAGAAATATCACCATCTCTTATGAAAGCAAAGAGAATGGAGGAAGATCAAATGAAGAAGGTAAATGTGGGGAAGTACTGAAATTTCTCCAAATTCATGTGAATTCCCTCCCTATCAATGCAGGGAAGATCTAGCTGGCCCAGGAATCCACAAAAATGGAACTGAAATTTCTCTGGCATGAAAGAAAATCTGAGCAACCAGACAAAGTTTAGGCTTAAATGTGAGCCTAATGTATTCAGGAAAGATTGACTCAGATCAATATCATTCCATGTCAAATTGATAAAAGTTTTACAGTGGAGCCCCATTTTATTAAATTCGGTATCACGAAATAGAGGAAACTCTCAATTTATCACTTAAAAATCATGCCAAAAGTGAGTTAAATCTTTTATTAGCCCAGCTGTTAGTTTATAGCATAATGGGTATCAATTTTATTACACCAGAAATAACTTCAATATTTCCCCATCTTTTGGAGAATTAGAATTCTCACCATCTCTTATGAAGACAAAGGGAATGGAAGGAGGTCAAATGAAGAAGGTAAATATCGAAGTACTTAAAATTTCTCAGTTTTCATGTAAATTGCCTCCATATGTCTATGCAGTACAGATAAAGATGGCCCAGAAATGTCTCAAATATGAAACCAAAAATTTGCTGGCATAGAAGATAACCTGAGCATCCAGACCTTGTAGGTTTATATGTGAAGCCTATTATTTTCAGGATTAATTTACTCAGGCCAATTTCATTATTATACAATGTCAAACAGATACATATTTTAGAGTGGAGCAGCATTTAATTAAATTTGCTGTTATAAAGTAAAGGAAACTCTCAATTTGTCTTCAAAAATTCATGCCAAAAGTAAATTAAAACTTCTGTAGGCCTAGCAATTAGTTTCTACTATGATGTTTGTCAATTTTATTACACCAGAAATACCCCCAATATTTCCCCATCTTTTGAGGATTAGGGCCCAGGTATATTTAAATAGACTTATATGAAGCCCAATCAAGTACACGTCACAGGCCAACACATGGTAGGGAGCCTTAATATTATAATTGTAGTGCTCAAAGTAATTCTATTTTTCCTAGGAGTACAAGTAGGGACATGTGCTAAGGAGGAAGATAAATGGAAGTCTTCCTCAAATAATCTAAAAGTTATGCATGGAGCTGCCTCATTCAATTTCTAAGGGACACACGGTACAAATATTTGTATGAAGCCATAAATTTGCTTACAAGATGGCACATATTGACACCATACATATCGAACCGCACAGTATAATAAATGTGTTGTTTAAATCCATTGTAATAAAAGCACTAACTACAGATTTGGTTATATATGAAAAGAACCAATTTATATAGTTTTAAATTATTTTAATTTATTTTATTTTTTTGCAGAAAAAGGAAGCCATATTTTTGCAAATTTTCTTCTCAAATTAGTAATTTGAATAATCTTCATTCAGACAAAAAAAAATCCAAAATTTGGATCCCTAAAGCTATACTTGGCAAGCTTATCAAAGTAATATATATATATATAAGCCATCCATATGGGAAAAAGTTTATAAAGAACATTAGGTCCTGTCAACGGAAATTTAAATTAAATAGCCAAGATGAGATTAGCTTTACAAGCATAAAGAAGCATAAGGTATTGAATTAGGTGGTAAAATGGAAAAATAAAAGTAAAAAACCATGACCATATACAGCAAATACGACATTTCCTAGCCTAGACTTCAACGCTTCTTACCTGCACCACAGCAAACCCAACTGACGCATAGCGTGTGTATTGAAGGACCTTAGCTTTTGGTATTGCTACTATCTTTGGTTACCTATGAGTTTTGGTTAATCTACTTGTACTCCTTCGCCTAAGCAAGTCAAAGATTAAGGTTCTTTAATGAATTTACTTGTTATTTTAATAAGTTATTGATTGAGATTACATTGTCCATCGTTCTTAAATTTCTTAACAAGCTCCTGCGCATGTTGGTTTCACATCAGAAATTCCCCCAATATTTCCCCATCTTTAGAGGATTAGGGCCCAGACATATTTAAATAGACTTATATGAAGCCCAATCCAGTACACGTCACAGGCCAACACATGGTAGGGAGCCTTAACATTATAATTGTAGTGCTCAAAGTAATTCTATATTTCCTAGGAGTACAAGTAGGGACATGTGCTAAGGAGGAAGATAAATGGAAGTCTTCCTCAAATAATCTAAAAGTTATGCACGGGGATGCCTCATTCAATTTCTAAGGGAGACGCGTTACAAATATTTGTATGAAGCCATTAATTGGCCTACAATATGGCACATATTGACACCATACTCATCGAACCACACAGTATAATAAATGTGTTGTTTAAATCCATTGTAATAAAATTACTAACTACAGATTTGGTTATATATGAAAAGAACCCATTCATATATTAAAAAAAAAAAAACCCCATTCATATAGTTTTAATTTTTTGCAGAAAAAAACAAGCCATATTTTTGTAAATTTTCTTCTCAAATTAGTAATTTCAATAATCTTCATTCAGAAAAAAAATGTACCAAAATTTGGATCCCTAAAGCTATACTTGGCAAGCTTATCAAAGCAATATATATATATATAAGCCATCCATATGGGAAAAAGTTTATAAAGAACATTAGGTCCTGTCAACGGAAATTTAAATTAAATAGCCAAGATGAGATTAGCTTTACAAGCATAAAGAAGCATAAGGTATTAAATTAGTTGGTAAAATGGAAAAATAAAAGTAAAAAACCATGACCATATACAGCAAATACGACATTTCCTAGCCTAGACTTCAACGCTTCTTACCTGCACCACAGCAAACCCAACTGATGCATAGCGTGTGTATTGAAGGACCTTCTTCCTGCCGGCTTCCCCCTCCCTCTTTTGAAGATCTTGCAACTTGGGGAAAATCTGGGTAAGAAGCTGAAATACAATCTGTGCATTGATAAAAGGAACAATGCCAAGCGAACAGATTCCCAACCGACCAATGCCACCACCGGAAAGTGAATCTAAGGTGCTCAAAAAACTGTTCTGATCCAAATTACCAACAAAGGCTTCTTGGTTGATTCCACCTATTGGTATATATATTCCAAGTCGAGACAAAGCTAAGTATCCTAAGAGCTTCAGGAACTTCCCAGGGAGGGGGCCTTTAAAAAAGTCACCAAGATCAATAGAACTGTCTTCAATTGCAGCTGCCAATGTAAAAAGAAACTGCGATGCATTTAAAATTATTAAATGAGTATAAGATTCTTAAACTAATGCATCTGATTTATAACAGGGTTTTGGACGTTTAAAATTCAAGGTATTGTTGTAACTGACCAATTTGGATCCTAGAAAACAACATAACATTCTTTTGGCCTATATTATGGTCGCTGAAAATTAAAATCGTACACAAAAAAGTAAAGGAACCAACGTGAAAATTAATAGAAATTGCTTTCTTGTAACAAAAGTAATTAAAAAAAATCCAAAAAGTTGATAGTTTTTAATGCGAAGCAGATGGACGAAGGTTTTTCTACGCAAAAGATAACTCAAAAAGCTGTCTTCTCTCATTACTACAAGCAATGGATGTAAAGTGCCGAGTTGTAGATGACAATGTACGTCAATAGAAGGATAAGATTACCGAGTCAATAGCCTGCAGGACCAAGAATTAACATGCTAGTCCCAAGCACATTGATTTGAAGTTACACATGATATAAAAGTGGTTACTATAGAGCATATTTGCCTTGTGCAGGTGAACAAAAAAGGATAAATGTAAGAAAAACATTCAAAGCAATTCTTTAGTAAATTTTCTTTTTTTTTTTTATATATTCACTTTCATTATTTTGATATACAATTAGTTAGGGTTAGCTTGATTTGAGTCCAGATTAGAATATTGTATCTTGTAATATATTCATTCGAATCAATGGAAAATATTCATTAATCAAAATATGAAATGGTATCAAAGAAGTAGCAGATCTCTCCACAACTAGGTTTAGACCTCTTCCTCCTACTCCCTGCAAAGTCTCCAAATGCATCAACCTGTAGTTGCATACCACTTAACTTGCATGCGCAAATACTACTCAACACCTTCCAACTGATAGAGTCCTCCTAGCACATCTCCTCCTACTCGGCATCTCATGTTGCCTCCCTCCTCCATTGCAACTCCTCTCAACATATATTCACTTTGCTTCGCCCTTCCTATATCATCCCATGGCCTCCCATGCAGCTTCAAAAGTAGCCAAATCCACCCATCATACACAATACTCATGAAACCAATCGTCCCTTCATCTCCATCAAACTCTCCTCCCACAATCTCATCAAACTAACCTACACAAAATATCTATCATGGAAGCTCAAATTTCATGTCATTCTCTTTGGATATGAACTTGAAGGATATATTGATGCTACCATCCTACAAATCCACCACTATAACCACTAATGGCACGACATCTCCCAAACCTAAATACAACGGGTGGATCTCTCAAAATAAACTCATTGTTAGTGCTCTTAATGAACCTCTCTATTCCCCACATCCCTCTTCTCACCAACGCCACCAAACCCATGAAGCCTAAAATATCCTAGCCAATATCTACGCCAAACTCACCAAGGGACGCATTCAATAGATCAAAGATTAACTAAAGAATATCACTAAAGGATCTCAAACCACCGCCAAGTTCATCGACCTAATCTGAACTCAATCGTGTTAACCAGATTATTATTCTCAGTAAGTCTATGGGTGAAGAAGACAGCATAGAGATCAATCTTGATGGTGTTAGTGATGACTATAAGCCCATCATTAATTGAGTTAATGCTCATGAAACTCCTATCACCTTTGATAAGCTTCATGAAAAATTACTCAACCATGGAAGTATTCTTCTGAACAAACAACCCCTCCGCTATCACTGTTTGTTATGACCAACCCAACAACCTCTTGGAACAAGCAATGGCGTATGCCAGAATAAACAAACACATTCCATCTCAGGCCCTATGCAACCCTTAAGTCTAATTATAACACACCTTCCTATCCCTATCTTGGCTATTTCAAAGTAGATGACATTTATAGTTAAGCGATGCCCGATTTTGTACTGGGTTCCCCCCAACCAATCATGGACTTCCACTTACCAGTGCCTTGCTCTCAAGAGTCTCACCCATCTACCCCGTGGTAGCTATACACCCACCATAGTCCCAATAAAGCTTCGATCATTCCCACAAGGTCTATTGAGAATATTGTTTATCATCACAACATCAATGAATTGAGCATGCTTCATAGTATGTATGATGCCCTAATTACATTATGATTGTAGATGCACTAGTTTACCCAAAAATCACACTGGTTCCACCTCTTTACCATCTAGCTCTCATAATATTTTCTTGATAATAACCTTTGGATTCCTAGCATGAAAAGAACCTTATTTTCATATGTAAATTTTGTAAATCTTAATCATGTATTTATTAAATTCTTGCCCACTTTTCATTTTAAGGATCTACACACAAGGGCTAACCTTTTGATGAAAGCAAATTAAACAAGGCGTGTATGAATGGCCACTCCCTTCATTGTAATTTGTGCTAAAACAATAAAGCCATAAATTAACAATATAAACTCCATTATTAAATATTTTTAGCCAATAGAAATGTTGTTCCCATATATGCGAACCTTATTCATGCAATCTTATGATGGTTTAAATATTATGTCATTTCTATCAATCATTATACAAAATATATCTAGTACTATTCATTTAAGCAAAAAAAAATCATAGTCGTAATGTCCTCAATAGCTTCAAAACATTAGTGTTAAAACACTTAAATCGCAAAAACATCCCTTTATAATCGAACAATAGTGGCAAGTATCAAGCTCTTATAAAATTTCTCTCCACAAATGGCATTTCTTTCATCATTAGCTAGTCTACCAACACACACACCTATTCATAATGAATACTCTGAAATACTTCATCATCATATAGTTGAAGTAGGTAGCTCTCTTTCTCATGTGACCATTCCACTCTCCTACTAGACTCGTGTATTTGCCATGGAAGTCTACCTTAGAAACTGACTTCCGACCCCCATGCTCTACATCTCTTCTACATATGAACAGCTATTTGGCTCCCCAACCAACTATTCCAAGCTTTCTATGTTCAGCAGCCTCAGCTAGCCATAGCATCATCCATACAACACAAACAAACTTGGCTCTCACTCCAAACCAAGTTTCTTTCTAGGCTACTCCCCCACTCAAAGTGCCTCTCTCTCCCAAAACCATCATATGCAAAATATTTTTTATCATGTGTAGAATGTTGAGTCTATTTTTCTTTTGATCTCTCTCCTTGACTTATGGAACCTTTAAAGAAATAATCTTCTTGTGGTGTCCTCTAGACTTTTCCATATCCTACATCATTTCTCCAAGACTCCCTTTATACAGACCATCCATAATTTTTTCCTTTGTAACGCCACATGTACAACTTCAGAGCAATTGGACCAACCCAAAAACCTACATGCCATCCTCTGTCAATCATTGGCCAACCGATCTACTCTCTATCAGTCTCTCAACCAACTCCAATCACACCAAAATACCTCACCTCACACCAAAGCCAATCCGAGAAAATCTTCTACAATAACAATGTCACCCAACCAGCACCCCCCCCCCCCCCACACCGCCCCCCCCCCCCCCAACACACACACACCCCAAAAACACTAACACAATTACCATTTGAGCCACTACAACATTTACAAACCAATCCACAAACTCGCTCTCATATCAAACTAAACCAATCACCTAACCTTGAACCAACCATTCTAACCCAAACAATCAAAGATCACAACTGGCACTTGGGCTATATTGGATGAATATGATGTTCTCATTAAGAACAGAATATGGGACTGTGTTCCCCCCACATTAACACAAACCTAGATGCTTGCATGTTTATTTTTGAATCAAACATAACACTACTGATGGATCAATTGACAAGTACAAAGCTCAATTGATTGCCAAAGATTTTCACCGTCGGCTAGGAATTGATTGTCACGACAACTTCAATCAAGTTATTAAGCCTGCTACAAATATGATTGGTTCTGAGCATAACCTTCAATCGACAATGATCTCTATATCAACTAGATGCTAACAATGTCTTTTCTTCAAGACCCTCTTTCTAAGGACGTTCATGGTTCAACACCTAGACTTTATCGGCACATACCATCCTACATATGTGTTCAAACTTTATATAGCCATCTATGGCTTCAAGCAAGCACCTCATGCCTAATACTAAGAGTTGCGACAAATTCTAATTACTTTCGATTTCACCAACTCTCTAGAAAATACATCTCTCTTTCTCTTCAACATCAGTGATAATTATTCGTCTTCTTGCTTATAATGAGGACATCATTATTACTAGTAACTCTTAACATTATTGTGAAACACTTTATCACTTTTATTGCCCAATATTTCTCAATCAAGGACCTAGAGTCAGCGCATTATTTTTGGGTGTGGAAGTTGTTTAGCACCATAGTAGGATTCTCTTATCTTAACATCAATATATTTTTATCTTCTTACTAGAACTAAAATTATAGATGCCATTTTTGTAATTACACATCTTCAAACATCACCAAAATTCACTCTTCACTTTGGCTCTACACCTACTGATTTGATTAATTATAGAGCTATAGTGGGCAATCGATAGTATTTAAATCTTAGACGCCTAAATATCGCCTTTGCAAATAATAAGCTCTCTCAATTTATGTAACGCCCCACCATTGAACATTGAAATGTTGTTAACAACTATTTTACTTTATACATGGCAATATAGATCTTAGCCTTAGTATTTATTGTAACTCAATACTTGAACTTATGCATTAATTGATGTCAACTAGGTAAGTAACATGGATAACTTTGCCTTTATATATGTCTACATTATGTAACTTTGCTCAGTCCTAATATCTTAGAGTGTCATCCCACTACATGCAAATATGCAATGATATATATATATATATACACACACACACACATAATCAGGCTTCTCTCTATCGAGTCATTATTAGCACTATGAAAATAATCCTGAATACATAGCCAGCACATTTACATCTACAACAAGCCAGTAATCTATGGACAATAGGTTTTCATCTATGGAAATCCAACAATCTGCAAACAATAGTATTCCATTTTTGTTCAAATAATAATAAGCCTGTAGTATTCCATTTCTACTGCATAATTAATTTCGAATTCAATAATTAAACACAGATTTCCAAATGTCTTTATTTCCTAAATAATTATTTTTATAGATATTTATGTGCAACTTCCTTTCTTTTTTTTATACAGAATAAACGAAAAAATTTTATGACTGTTTGGTTGGAATATTTTAGGGTGTAAAGTAGAGTAAAAGCATGGGTTTTAGAAATTTGGGTGTTTGGTTGGATGAAAAGCAAATCCAAAATAAAGTAAAATAAATGCAGTGTATTAAATTCTAGTTCATTTTTTAGGTAAACCGTTCTAGCCCAGTTTTGAGGGAGAACCATTTACACCTCCGCTATTGCCGCCGCCGCCCAATATTGTCGATTGTCGCCGCCCACTACTGTCGTCCACCGTCGCCGCCACTTACCACCGGCTGCCAACCCGCCGCCACCTCCCGCTGCTACCCAACGTGGCCGCCGCCTACCGCCGCCGCTCTCCAAAGCCAGCCGACAACCATCCCGCACACAACAATTTCCAGTTTACACTGCATTCATTTTACCTAAACCAAGCAAAAAAAAGTAAAGTCATGCATTCATTTTACACTCCAGGCTAATAGATCCTTCATTAACACTTAATGTCAGTTCTCATCCAACAAGAGTTAAGAAAATATATCCTAAACATTATCCTCAAAAGAAGAAAGAAGCAGCTACCATGAAGAAGCCAATGGTCAAAAAGCTAACAAGTTTAACTCTAGCAAAGAACCTCAAAATGAAAAACTCAAATCTAAAACATGCAAATTCTATAATAAAATATGATTCAAAAATTTCGAGGAGATCAAGAAAGAAGTACAAATCATAGAAACATTCCTTGTTTAATCAGCCATTCTTCCAACAAATTTTACTCTGGAACATCAACAAAGAATTCAGAGACACTTCAATCAATTTTGTAAGTTCTGAACAAACCTGCCACTCCTCTATTTGATGTAATCTCTTTCCTCGTATTAGTACTTTTGAAAGTTTGCGTAGATAATTGAAGGAAATTATCCCATGCATCACCCAAACTTGAAGATGTCTCGGAGTTCAAACCCAAAGGATCAAAATTGGTACCAATAGGTTGCACGCATCTGAGATGAAAAAGCTTATACGCAGAAAGAATTAAGAAAACATCTAATAGTAAAATCCTGAATATAACATAAAAAAATCCTAGAAATCAATAAAGCTAATATTATGGGATTTAGTTTAATTGGCATAACATCATTGAAGGGAATATACGTATATTCTTATCATCTAAAGATGGTTTAATTGTAAGGATTTCTTAAGAGGTCAGTTAGTAGCTTTATGTTGCAATACTAGATCTTTTACGTTTGTGAATTCTAATAAGATTGTGGAGTGGCCTAGGCCTTGTTTTGGTTTTGCTTGGTTAAATGTCGATGGCTGTTTGAGAAGCAACCGATGAGATGCTGCATGTGGTATTTTTGATAGACAACAAAGGTATTTTTCCCTCTTCAAGTATTTGGGCGTTAATTATTTCTTCTTTCATTGCGGAGGTCAGGGCTGTTAGTTAAGGTTTGGAACTTTGTTTTCAGAATAGCATTTCTCATATTGTAGCAGAAGTGGACGCTATGTTGTAAAAAAATTCTTTATCTTGAGACAAAATTGGAGACAAGAACTCTTTTCATTCATTAAGAATTATTAAAAACTTTGATTCTTAAATTAGAAGCTAATTGTTTTCACATATACAGGAAGGTAATAGTGCTCCAGATGGCTTAAGGAGTTTATAATAAAGAATTCAGAGTTCTCTCTGAGGTTGACTTGTTTTAGTAAGCTTGATAAATGGGGAAATGAGGTTTCTCTTTTCTATTGTCATTTTGATCTAGGGGCATTTTTTTGTTGTTGCTGGAATACCTTGAGTCAGATATTGAATTTCTCTTTTTGTACGATGAATAGGTATGGGCTTACCTAGACCTTGACCTAGGCACAGATGGTTTGGTTTTTTTCTATCAATTTGTCACACAAACTCTAATCCATCAACACCAATACGATCACGATGTCATTGCAAGCTAACCGATGTTTTTTTTATTGCTGATCATAGATATTGTCAATGGAACCACCGGCCCCTACTGCTGACAACTTAGACTTCGTTTGGGATGGCTTTCTTATTGCTTCTTAAAGCAGTTTTCTAATATAGAAATTTATTTTTTTGTACTAGAAAGTTGATTTAAGAAGCAGTAAAAAAATCGTCCTAAACGAAGCCTCAATCTTACTTGAGACAACCAACAGATTGGGGAATTTCAATTTAAGTTTGCATAATTTCTTGATCTATGTAAGCTAGTTTTCAAGGCTTTCTTTTCTAGTTATGATTTAATGATATGAATTGATCTATTGTTTCCATCCATGTACTGCAACCACAGAGTTATTTCAATCTTATTTTCGCTATATTTCAATCTTATTGTCAAAAATCCCAAGTATCATGATCTTACTAAAATTTAACTTAGCACCCTTCTCTCATTAGAAATTCAACATCAATTATAGTAATTATGATTGTAACCATTACTATTACTAGAACTTTGTTAGACCGGTCCACTGGACCGGTCCAGCCGGTCCAGGCGGGACCGGTTCGGGGGCAGAAATCGCGAAACAGGCGGATCTGGCGGAAGAACGAGCGGCCCGTCCGCCCCCGTAGAGCCATTTAGGAAGTTTTTTTGAGCGTTTTGAGAGGGAAATTTGAACGTAGGGACTGTTTAGGGAATTCCTTTTGATTTGTATGCATTAAATAGTAGATTTTCCTAGGGTTTGAGCATCTTGAATTTGGCTGAAATTTGAGATCTCGTAGATTTAGGTTTTCTTTGGGCTCTTGGCATTACCAGAGATTTGGGAGAGAACGATCCTCCTCTCGAATTGAGGATCAATTGTATCTTGCTATTTTATTCTTCTTCTAGTAAAATACAAGTTCTTACTTCGTGTTTCTATCATTTTTCTCTTGTTTTCCCACTGTTTTGGCTGATTTCCTGCTGTGGACAGCAGTTTGCTGTGAGATCTTTGGCTAAAGTGATTAGGAAATACTTGGAATCAAGTATTTCCTATCAAACTTCCAATTTGATTGAGAACTACAAAACATTCAAATGGCATCGCTTACATATAACCTTTCAATCATTTGGAATTTCACTTGCAGTCACTTTGCTTTTTTGATTCGGTATAGTTAACAATCCTAATAGCTTATGCATAATTGATGAAGAAAGTGTTCACCATGTCCTGAAGTTCAGCTTTATGATAGGGAACTCCTATTACTTAATAGAACAGTTTGTGTTGAAGAAATGCGAGAACATTTCATACTAGTGGAAAAGTGATACAGGAACTTTGGTATTCATTCTAGATTGTTTATGCATAATGAAACAAGTATAATTCCATCTATCAAGTACAAATTTTTTAAAACAATAAAAAAATTGAAAATTGTCATGTATTGAAAAAGGCACCGAAACAAAATGTTTACTTTTTGTTAAATGATATCTTCTGAAAGTTTACAAAAACATTAGCATAATAAAATGCTACAAAAATCCATCAAGGGAATAATTATCAGGATTTGATATCATTTTGTCCATGACCTTCCATATAATCTTTCTCATGCAAGGTTTCTAGCGGATTTATCTTCTATTATAGATCAGAATAACAGACTACTAACGCAATTAGATTGATATAGGCTGTAAGACAGAGAAGTTAAATTTAAACATATGATCCAATACCAAAAACCTATTGATACATCTTTTATACCATGTTCTTAATTCATAGAAATGGAAAATTAGGGGAAAAACATTTCTACCGTAAGGAAAAATGCAAATTCTAGTTGAATAAACGCTAGTCATCCTTCACAGCTTTTTTATGGAAATGGCCGGCATTCTGATAATCAGAGTTTTGCAAAACCCCAGTACAAGTAACCAAACAATGCTCCACTAATTGCTTAAAGGTACTTGAGCCAACAACCTCACCTTTAAAGGAAGAACCAAAAAGAAAACCATAATAACTGAAGCCCTTCGGAAACTAAAGAACGGACCTTCTGCTGTAGGCTCTTACAAGGATGAGGGAGCTCCGGCCATTGCTTTTGACGAGCCTACTCTCCACCGGCACCGAAGGAATCCGACTGCGGTAAGCAGACAGGAAAGTGGGACTGCGTTGGATAGCTTGAGTGTAGACAGATACAAACGGCGGGCCTCGTCCGATAGATGAGACAGGAGGTGCCCGCTCAAGCGAGAGCATTCTGCCGCGGCAAGTTTCCGCCGACCGCTCGGTTGCAGTGTTTGGCCCGGCTGCGGCTTGTGGATATGAGGGTAACTAACCTATCAAACTGAAATTGAAGACTCGGCACCCCCACAAAAACTATGATCGAACAATTATTAGGTCCGCGTCCGGTAACCATTGAGATGCGTTGCTCTTATTATTTACCGCCCGGATCGGAACGGGGATTACTATATTCGCTCGGTATTGCTAGTTATTGTTTTATAATAACGATAAATACTGCTCTTTGAAAATCAATATCGAGCAATACTGAGTTTTTTAAAAAACTCGGTATTGCTCGGTATTGCTCGGTATTGTTCGGTATTGTTCGGTATTTGTCTTCACATAATGGTATTTCTCGTTATTGTCGAATAAAATCAACAAATACCTAGCAATACCGAGCAATACCTAGCAATACCGGGTTGTCATGGATTTAAAAAACGCTCGTGCGATATACCCACTATTCGTCGGGTCGGGTCCGCGGTTTTATGCCTGCTACGTGGCACGATCTCAGTGCCAGCCGAACGTAGCTCTACGTCCGTTCACCGGACCAAATAAAAGTTCCAAAAACTATAGTGCACAAATGAGAGATTTTAGAAAATTTCACTAAAAATTATAGGAATTTACAGTGGTAAAATGGACTTTTTATTCCTCATGATGAATGATTTTAAACTAATATGTTTTTATATTTTTATTTACCCAAATAATTTTGGAAGAAATTTTGATTTGACATGTTCCTTTTACACATAAGTGATCATCAATAAAATTAAAATTGGGATGGCAATCTAAGGTTTGTAGTTTATGATTTTGAAAATATTTGATTGAGGTAGTTATCGAATCATCTTTTATAAGCACCACCGTTATCTTCCAACCAATGTCTTTATACCCTTCAAATGAAAAAAATAATGTTTACATTTTTTTTTTAGTTATACAAGCCTAAATGCAATCATCGATCTATGGTTATATTAAGAATGAGAGAAAAGGAGAATTTTACGTTCAAAAAGAACAAGTTTCGAACATCATATTCAGTGTTGGATCATTGTTCAAATAAAATTCAAATTTCTATTTCAACCCTAGGATTCAATTATTAGATCTAAATCTAGGTTTGGAGTATACCTGAAACTAAATTTGAACCTCATGAGCAAGTTTGAACCAATGCTCGAACATGGCTCGAACTTTGTTGCATACGGTTTGAACATAATTTGAACCAGATTCATTTTAAAACTATGAATCTCATTTCATTACTTTCATATTATTCTTAAGTTTAACGGTGTTCAAATGAGTGATGACTGCATATACTTTAAAATTTTTTAAAACAAACCTTTAATTTGTTTGATGGGATTCATGATCATCTGACTTAGACTCCAACCAGTACTTTTTCAAAGTTTTGATATTATTTGATTTAAAAGGTTAGCTTTCAAATCCGTGATGACTTGAGCAATTATTGTTATAATGAAGTTAAGTTTTGATATGATATTGTTGATTGGCTTTATTTAACATATTTAGATATTGTTAATTATTCTAGTACATGTTATATTAATGATTAGTTCTATTTATGTTATAATGCTTATCTTTGTGACGATCTATTACTTCTGTGAACACCAAAAGATTCAAGTTTTTTTAAAACATGTTCGTTGTATGAAGTTCTTGTTCAAACTTTCTTTGAACAATATTCAATCAAAATTTGAGCGATATTTGAACTTATTTTGAACCTTATTTGAACCTCATTCAAATAATATTTGAACAATGTTCAAACTCTATTTGAATATAGTTTGAATCTTATATACAACTAATTCAACTTATATTATTAAAACATACATCATATTACGATTAATAAATATAAATTAGAATTGGGTTCAATCTTAGTTAAATAAATATATTCAAATTGAGTTTGAATATAGATCAATCAAGATTTGAACTAGACTCTATCATGATTCAAATCTGGTTCAAACATAGTTGATACCCAGTTCAAATAGGTTAAACTATATTTGAATAGGGTTTGAACAAGTTATTACATAGTTGATTATAATACAAATGAGCACAATGACAATAGCTATAGCATAAAAAAGTATAATGTTGATATAATAAAGTGCAATCATAGTAGGTACAACATAGTTATTGGATCTCGTTTTATCCAGTGGATGATACTTGGCGTGTGATGCTCCAGAATCTAATTTGGAAGAATTATTCTTTTATCTTTTTTTTTTAGGGGAAACCCACGGAGGAGCCTACGCGTTAATATAAAAGAGAATTACAAGGCCCTTAAAGGGACCTCGAGCTTGACTAATGCTCAAAAGAGCTACAATCCAAAAATCAAAAAAACCCTAAAAGCTCAAGGTCCCTACTAATCCAAAATACAATGAAGCATATGTACATTCTACGGTTCTTAAGGATGAACACCCAAAAAATGGGGAGACAGATCAAAACAGCAAACAGCATAGGCTCCCAAATCCAAAAATCACTGCAACACTGAAAGATCCAAAAAACACCTGCAAAATAGAAGCACCAGCAACACAGAAAGGAAAAGAGCGAGGATGGGCACATACCAATAAGAAATAATCCCCCTTAATTAAAATTAGTAAGGTATCCCTACAAAAGATCAACATAAAGTGAGTAAAATAAAAAGCCCAGACTAAAATAGCATTAGAACCCGCCCTCTTCCAATCAGACCTGTCACAACCGGACAGTAAAAACCCATTCAAATAGAGAAGGTCCCCCCACCTCAAACCATCAAAATTGTGGTAGACCCCCAAAAAAGCCCCTAATACAGATATCCCAGAATAACCACCAACACAAAAGCATAACAGAATACAAAAATTCCAACAAGGCCCAGAAGAACCCCAGTAATCCACCATGGAAACGAAAGAACAACCACAATCAAAACCAACCCACACCAACAGGGAAACCAAACAACAAAGCTCCCACCCAACAACAAAATAGGAGCAGGAAACCAAACTACCAAACCCAACCTAGAAAAGGAAAACAAGAACCAACAGCCAACCCAGGCAAGAGGCCTGAATTAACGAAGAGGGAAAAAACACAGCCAGTAACCACAGCCTACAGACAATGCCCCAGCAAAAAAACTGGAGCCACGAACCTAAATGGACAAACACAACCAGACTCTCCAGACCAAAAAACAGAACAAAGGCCACCAACCAAAAGAACACACCAATCCAATGTAAAACAGTAGAGCAAATGGACAAAAGTACAACCATAAAACAGGACAAGAGCTAGCTAAATACTAACATAAGGCAAAGAATTTTTATCCAGATTAATAAGGCCTCTAAGAGGAAGAGGCAAATTAGCTTCCACCAAGTCATTAAAACCAAAATAACTAGCGCCAACCCGAGCAAGCCACCTAGCACAGGCATTCCCATCTTTAGGCTCATAAGAAAAATCAGTATGAACATTAATAGTTAAAAACTTGATAGCACGATTAATGTAAAACACCTCAGGAGCACAAGGGTCATCCACATCACAAATTAAACATTGAACATCCTGAAGACACTCAACCTCAATAGTAATGCTGGAAATACCCAAAGAAAGACAACAATTTAACCCATAGATAATAGAGTTCAAAATCGCCAACAGAATATTGCTAGAATGAGGCCCCGCAAAACCAATGATGAAATTACCATAGCCATCTCTAATAATACCACCACAACCTAAAGAAGTGTTAACCACCTCAGTACCAATATTAAGTTTAAAAGTGCCCATCCTCGGCTTAACCCATAGAAGTAATGAGAAAAACACGTTTAGACATAATATCATCCGTAGGAATAAACTTATTTAAAATTCTCCAAATAAAGGTAGAGACAGTAGCAAGGATATTCTTATGCCAGATCCTAGAATAAATAGAACTCACCTCCTTTTTAATTCTAAAATTATGCCAAACATCTTTTAGTCTAAACAAGCCATCATTAGCTAGCTTAAATAAGATAACATCATTAGAATCAGTGTTAATCGAAATAGAGAAGATTGCCTGAATAATAGCATTAGGAACCACCTCGGCAAGCTTATTAACATCCCAACCATTGTTAGAAATAAAGTGACTCACCTTAACATTCTCAATGGAGGACGAATTAATAAGAGAGTCAATAGAAAGCAGATTCAGCCAATTATCCTGCCAAAAAAAATATTACCACAACCAAGGCCCCAAGAAATGAAAGGCTCCACCTCCCATTTAATCTTACACATTCTCTGCCAAACTTTGGAATCACCATTATTAACATAGCAAGTAGAAGGATGCTTCATAACACAATACTTAGAATTCATAAACTTAGCTCATAAAGAAAGATTAGCACGGAAATTGAACCAGAGTTTATAAGAAAAAGCATGAGCCAGGTCGTGCGTAGATTTACAGCCAAGGCCTCCCTCATTCAAAGTACCACATCATTTATCCCAAGAGGCCCACGTAATTTTGGTGTTATTAGCAGCACCTTTCCAAAAAAATTTGTTCAGGATAATATCAATACGATTACACACCCATTTAGTGGTATGCAAAGTTTGAAAAGAATAAACAGGAAGAGAACAAAGAACACTTTCAATAAGAGTAAGCCTACCCCCATAACTCAAAAAATTAGACTCCCAAGACATAAGTTTATGCTGAACAGAAGCAATTAAATCATTGAATAAAAAAGACTTTTTCCTTCCCTTAAATAAAGGAATACCAAGGTACTTAATAGGTAACTGCCCATGCACAAAGCCCGTCAGATTCTTGATGATAGTAATACGGTTCCTCTTCATACTCTTAGGGACAATAAAACAACTTTTTTGATTATTTAAGGCTAAACCACTAATATTGTAGAAATCTTGAAAAAATTTCATAAGTCTAACAATATTAGGTCGAGAGGCATTCATGAAAATGATAAAATCATCAGCAAAACACAGGTGAGAAATAGGGAAACCCCCCTTAGTTTTGAAAAACATGTTAAGATGACAATCAAACATGCTAGCAATACTCCTAAAAAGGTAATCAACAGCAA